AGAAACGAACAAATGGGTTCAAGTCAAAAGAACCCGTTCTACTCTCGAGGAGCGAATCCAGAAGCGCCGCGCCTTGCGTGCACATGCCCGAGCCCTAGTCCAAAAAGCACGAGAAATGCTAAAGGGAGAGGCCGTTAAGAGATTGCCGAAATCCGAACGAGTTTGGATGCCAAAGGCCGAATCAACGCCTAAGGTAAAAACAGGTAATATTGCTCTCCAACCTTCGTCCATTTCAGGTCCCGAACCTTCGGTAAAGACCCACCGCAGCGTGGATTTCCCCAAGTCTAGGAATCCTCTGAACAACCGTATCGATGCTCTACCCGAGAATCGAGGAAAAGCGCTTGTCAAGGAAAGATGGGGATCGTTGAAGGAGCTTCGAGCCAACATCCAGACTGGGGGTCGTACACGACCTCCTAACAAATCGATCTTGGATCGGAGCTTTGCTTCGCTCATCGGGAATTGGACCGAGGCGCTCCAAGACTGGCTTTCTTCTTCGGGAGGATTCTGCATGATCTCCCGGAGTAGCTATGGGAATTCTCGGCGGCTTAGCTTGGTTCGCCGGAGGTTGAACTTTGGTTGGAGGCTGCAAAGGTTGCTCCTTAGCCTGAATTGCCGCTTTAGACTTTGGCCTCCAAACTTTGCGAGTTGGTGGCGGCTTCTTGGCCACTTCTTTCTGCAACTTTCTACGGGCTTCTTCGGCTTGAGCCCGTGCCTGCGCTGATAGTGCGCGGCGTTTGCGGATGCGTTCTTCCAGCGTCGAACGATTCCGTTTGACACGGACCCATTCCATTGTTGGCGGCTTGGAAGAGGCGCCGTTCATCTGTTGTTGAGGCTGTTTGCCTCTCTTGTTCTTCAGACCCGCGTTGTAGCGGACTCCGTCGGTGGACTCCATCGCTTTGGCGAATTGTTTGGCCAAGCGTTGGCGTTGCCTTTGGCGGGCTCTCTTTGAGAGAGTCACCGCTCCTTTGGTGACGGAGGAATTGGTTGGAACCAGCTTGATCTGGTTGGAGGTTGGTGGAGCCTCACCCGACGCAACTTTGGCGTCAATCGGGATGAGGTCGTCGTTGGTAGCTTCAACTTCTTCGTACCAACGCACCTTTCTGTTGGAAGAGAACTTGGACTTCTTGGACTTGCGGGGGGAGGTTGATCTAGACGAGGATGAAAGGTATTCCTCGAACTTGGTCTGATCGAACTCGTATTCGACCTCCTCCACGACTGGGATCAAGATCCGCGGCTGCGACGCTCCGATCTCGGCGGCGAGATCGTCGGCTTCCACTGTGGTCGCCAGATTGTTCGCGGGAAAATTCGTTGCTTTCTTCATTAATGATTCCATTGTACACTCTTGTAATAGTTTATCGATTACAAAGATCCGGTCTTTTTATAAGATCCGGTTACAATGAAAATCAAAATAAAATAAAAGAAAGATTACAACTTTTTCTCTTGTTTGTCGAACGAATTACGAGCTCCTGTTTTGCGGTCGCTCGCTTTGTGGGTTCTTTGCCTGCGCCGGGGTTGTTTGCCGTGGACCACCGCGCGATCTAGATCCGGTCGGATCTACGCAGTACGACGGGTATTATTCCACGAAGGAAATAATAGCCGGGGAGGATTGTTCCACCAAGGAAACAATCGTCCAAGTCTCGGGATCTAAGACCAAGCTTAGATCCGGAGTTCGTACGCGTAGATCTGAGATCTGGTCCTCTCGAACACCTGCCTTATTTGGCGTTGACGGTCGCCGAGCACCAGATCTGGATGAGCAAGTCCTTGATGTCCCAAAGTTGAGATCTTTTTTAGATCTGAGTCTCCAATCCTGCAGGGCTTCGCCTCCTCCAAAATCCAACCTTTTCAAATGAACAACCCCCTCTCCTATTTATAGGCACTTCTAGATCTGTGCCTAGGCACAGATCTGGGCCGGGCACACTCAGGTGGCTCGGCCTTGGCCGAGCCACCTTGAGGTGGCTCGGCTTGGGCCGAGCCACCTGAAGTTGGCTCGGCTTCGGCCGAGCCCCTCTAGGTGGTGGTTTTTTGGTTTTTTCCGCCTTTGGTTCTGTCCGTGATTCGGTTGATCCAGACTCTGATTTGATTCCTGATTTGGCAGTAAGCCGGATTCCTGATTTGGCAGTAAATCCGCTTCTGAGTTGGAGTCCGAAACCGATCTTGATTCGATCATGATTCGTTCGAGTCCGCTCTCGGTTGGATGACTCGTTGACTCTTCGAACACTTGGCTTGATCCCGCACGCGAATGGATGTATTCCGTTGCTTGTGTGCGATTCGTCGATCTCGTCGCCTCGTTGGTTTGTCGGTTCGTGCCGAGCTGAGCAAAAGGGACCTATAAGCAATTTTATATGCCTACACTCTCAGCCTTCAACTCAAGTCGGTTCGGGGCGAGAATTGCGCTCTAAATTTACTCATGAACGAGTTATTGATCAGGAGGAGGTTCCGTCTGCTAAGCATAAAAAGTTAGCTTCCAAGCGACGTTTTGGACTCCCGACTTCATAAACGAGACCTACCACTGACATACCTATCGGTGGAGAAGGTAACATTTTAACTTTTTTTGATCTTTTGACTGTTCTATTTATTAATTCGTAGACTTATTCATTCTCGTGTCTTAGGAGGCCGCGAAGAAGGTGAAAAGGAATATGATCCTCTTTCTCCCTGCTTTGATGGTTTCGAAAGGTCTGACTTCTCCCAACCAATGGACAAAGTTATAATCGAAGAACCTGCAGGTGTTGGAGCAGGTACAAATGTTGAGGCTATTGTAGACTCTAGCGCTGGACCCGATACCGCTAAAAGGGTCGAAGATCTAGGTATATTTAACATCGGTGATAGGTCCTTCATTTGGTAGGAATTGAACGATTCGGAATTTGTGTCTCCGCTAATCGTTTCTATGCTTCTTACCCTCTTAGAAAAATTACAAGAAGTGGTCCCGAGGACTGAGGCTGCGGAACTCGGCACAGCTGCTGAAGGTAAATTTCACTTCTTCTTATTACGCATTCTTGGTTTTTCCTCTTTCTACTTTAACACATTGATTCTGTGTAGGTGTTCTAGTGGAGGATCTGGACGATAAGGGAGCTCTCCGTGATGCGGCCCTCGGAGAAATATGTGTACCTTCACCTGATCCGATCCCCGTCTATTTGGATTCTGACGACAGGCTTTTTGAAGACATGTTGTCTGAACAAGCCCAGCGTGAGGCTGCCGAACCGATGAACACGGTTGACTCACCTGCCGGTATGATTTTTATTCCCGTGTTATAGATTCATCTGTCGGTTTTCATTTAACCATAGGAAAGTTCTAATCGTAGGACCAATCGTTGAGGCTGATACTACTACTCTTATTAGAGAGTCTGATGAATCTGAAGGTCTCGATTTCTTGCTGTTGGCAGGGATTGTCGTCGAGGCCCAATCATCAGCTCCCGAGACATAACTCCCAATTCTTTCGGGGACGCCGGCTACAGTGAGTGTAGGAACTATTGGGGGGAACCTATCTGAACAAACCGTGAGACCAACCGAAGAAGTTGGTACTGTTGGACCCTAGAGGGGGAAGGGGGGTGATTAGGGTCTTAAGGCTATAATTGTGCAATAAAAATAAGGCAAACAATACACCACAATAATGAACAACAAATGTAAAGGAGATAGAGTGAGAAATCATTATCCAAGTGACGCGCG